TGTTTTTATTTTTGCCCATGCGGGGTCCAGGGACCTGTCATTAAAAAAAAAAAAAAAAAAAAAAAAAAAAGAGGAATATAGGAATATATTTGGTTATAAAAGAGGAAGAGAAAAAAAACCCCATGCTCCAATTAATATAGATAGTACATAATGGATATACTTCTGGAGACTTTAATGCACGTAACTGCATGTAAGAGGACATAAAGGGCCACAGGAGCGTCCTTTTTACCTCCCAGGGTAAGAATGTCCTCATATAAATTTGTCCTTTCCTTACTGGAACTAATGCCTGAATCAATGCTTTCAGACATGAACAAGGAGAGCACAGTTCCACCTAAATAATCACAAAAGCCTCTTGGACCTAAAAGTTAGCTGTTTATTAGCTGTTAATTAGCTATTAACATGCATGTAGTTATATCAGCATGTCACTAGCCCAGCACCTTCTTTCCAGACCTACCTTGGTTCTCAAAGCAAATATAACAGATGGTTTGGATGGGTTTTATCCATCCACCCCAGGCTTTGCCTTCAACATGCACGGAACAAGCACTAAGCCGACCAATGGTGACTGTGTGACAGCCGCTGCCTTAGACGATGGGGACTACCAGCACTGGAGCCAGGATTTTAAAGTCAAAGCCAGTCCTGCTGATGCTCAGGTGGAGACGCTCGCGGAAAGCACAGGGCAACAGAGCATATCTGCTTGCCAGCATCCCCCAGCCCCTGGGGCAACCCACACAACCTCCTCGTATGCCTCCACATTTTCATCCAGTTAATAACTCACTCATTAACAGGGGTGCCATTACTGCTCGTCAGGCAAAAGTCACGGGGAAAACCAGCACCCAGAAGGTATGTAGCATTCACACAGCAGCGTACAACGCAGGCAGCAGGGCTTTCCTTCAGACCCTGCTGTTAATTAGGGATACAGCCTCCATTTCTTAGCTGATAATGACTGATACAAATGCAGGTCATGTTTGATTCACAAAGATGTTTCATCCTTTGATGCCTCTATTCACTTCAATTTTAGGGCAACCAAGTCGACCCACACACCCATCTCTGGCCCCATACAGTTACACTCCCTTTCTG